CATACGTGGGAGTGGCAACTCTACGCTTCACCTATATAGCTGATGACAGCTTTGGGGGGGGGGGGGGGGGGTTGACAAGTGGTACCATTGGGTTCGGTTGGGCAAGCTGAGGTACAATGAGAGATACTTTTTAATTTTTTTAAAAAAAATTGGGCAGCTTTCAAATGCTTGGGTGTCTTTATTTCTAGGTTGCACCTTTTTTTTTGGTGAATGGTAGGTGGGGGTCTGTAGGCGGATGTAGGTTGACCTCCCTGTCCAAGACCACCATGCAGGGAGAGTGGAGGACTGGAGAAAGTCACTGTCAGGGCTGGGCTCCTGCTACTTAACGGGAGGCTCTTTTCTTTCATTGCTCAGAAGCTGCCCAGCTGTCGGTTAATTACCAGCCACTTGGTGTCTCCATGGTGACTCACCTGGATACCGTTACCTGCTTCATTAGTCCCCGGATGACCTCCGTGACCTCCATGACCATCTTTAGTGAGGGCATAAAGGCACCGGCTCACTGCAGTTGGCGCGCATTGTGTGTGGACAGGTCAGGGACAGGAACTTGCTAGGGAGAGTGTGCCTAGCATGGAGAAAGGTTCCAGAGGAGTCGAGACTGGATATGGACAGTTCGCTAATGCTGCTGTGTGGAAACCATTCACTCCTTATGTCCTGAGCACCCCCGCCTACTAGCCACCTTCTGTGGCAGGTGCTTCCGGACCCCAAGCATTACTCTCCGCCAGTACTGCACCATTGTCTGTGTTTGTATCACTTTGAAACCACTGCGTAGACTTTATATACGTGAGAAGGTGGACCAGCCCCTGGAGTCAGATGTGTAGATGGCTTGGCTTCAGCCACTGCTCTGGCCACACTCTCTGATGCATTTCTCCGAACCTACCTGGCTTGGGTGAAATGCGTCTGAGGGCATGACCAGCGCACTTGGCTGAGGCCAAGCCATCAACACTCCTGGGTCTGGGGTCCGGTATGGATTTTTAGGGGGTACCTCAGTCAAAAAGAAAAAAACGTGTGAGTTTCCCCTATAAATCCACACCATACCCTCAAACTGAACGTGTAGCCTGGCTGGCCAGGAAAGCATGCACCCCCTTTCCCCCAAACCACCAGGCCACATTCCTTCACCTTGGACCTCCCGGCAAAGTACCTTGTCCCCATGTTGATGAGGTCAAGGGCCTTTTCTCACAACTCTGACTGGTCCTGGGGACTCCTGGGGCTGTTTGAGTGACATCCACCTTCTTACTTGTATAGCCACTCGTTTCGAGACACCTGCTGGCGGGGTGATTTCTGTCATGTTTCCTGCTTGGAGCGGAGCCACAAGGTAGCTTGCACCATAGCCTACTACATAGACTCTGATACGGTGTCATTGGAATGTTCTTGAAAGTACATTTCCTTGAAGGCTCGAATCTCAGTGTGTTGTTCCTTACTTTTTGGGTGCCCACCACCCGGCCTACCTACTGCCTCCAAGCCATTCACTCATTCATGTGTGTGGTGGGGCAATATCTGGGAGCCCCTCATTATTAAAAGGGGCCTATAGATTCTGATAAGGCCCCCTCAATACAGACCCCCACATCCACCGCGGGAAAAGGCCCTTGACCTCATCAACATGAGGTACTTTGCCGAGGGGGGCTCATGGTGAAGGAATGTGGCCTGGTGGTTTTGGGGGAAGGGGGGGGGTGCCAGCCAGGCAGCAGTTTGAGGGTGTGTGGTGTGGATTTTTAGGGGAAACTCACACATTTTATTGCCTGAGGTACTCCCTAAAAATCCATACCAGACCAGACCAAAGGGTCTACTTTGTATTATACTTTTTCACCAACCCACCAAATGAACAGCACCAGTCAATGTCAAGGATCGACTGGTGGATGTCATTACGTGGAACATTACGGGGAACACAGCCGGTGGGATAATGGAGATCTGAACTGTCCCTCTCTGTAGGTATCTTAAGGTATGAAATCCAGAGGAACATTACAGGGAACACAGCCGGTGGGATAATGGAGATCTGAACTGTCCCTCTCTGTAGGTATCTTAAGGTATGAAATCCAGAGGAACATTACGGGGAACACAGCCGGTGGGATAATGGAGATCTGAACTGTCCCTCTCTGTAGGTATCTTTAAGGTATGAAATCCAGAGGAACATTACGGGGAACACAGCCGGTGGATAATGACGATCTGAACTGACCTTTCTCTGTAGGTATCTTAAGGTATGAAATCCAGAGGAACATTACGGGGAACACAGCCGGGGGAAGACGACTGAACTGACCTTTCTCTGTAGGTATCGTATGAAAAGAACATTTGGGGAACAAAGCCGGCGGGATAATGAAGATCTGAACTGATCCTTTCTCTGTAGGTATCTTAAGGTATGAAATCCAGAGGAACATTACGGGGAACACAGCCGGTGGGATAATGGAGATCTGAACTGTCCCTCTCTGTAGGGATCTTAAGGTATGAAATCCAGAGGAACATTACGGGGAATACAGCCGGTGGGATAATGGAGATCTGAACTGACCTTTCTCTGTAGGTATCTTAAGGTATGAAATCCAGAGGAACATTACGGGGAACACAGCCGGTGGGATAATGGAGATCTGAACTGTCCCTCTCTGTAGGTATCTTAAGGTATGAAATCGAGAGGAACATTACGGGGAACACAGCCGGTGGGATAATGACGATCTGAACTGACCTTTCTCTGTAGGTATCTTAAGGTATGAATTCCAGAGGAACATTAAACGGGAACACAGCCAGTGGGATAATGGAGATCTGAACTGTCCCTCTCTGTAGGTATCATTATACGGGGAACACAGCCGGTATAATGGAGATCTGAACTGTCCCCATGAAATCCAGAAATCCAGAGGAACATTACGGGGAACACAGCCGGTGGGATAATGGAGATCTGAACTGTCCCTCTCTGTAGGTATCTTAAGGTATGAAATCCAGAGGAAACATTATGGGGAACACAGCCGGTGGGATAATGGAGATCTGAACTGAACTTCTCTGTAGGTATCTTAAGGTATGAAATCCATAGGAACATTATGGGGAACACAGTCGGTGGGATAATGGAGATCTGAACTGTCCCTCTCTGTAGGTATCTTAAGCCATGAAATCCAGAGGAACATTACGTGGGAACACAGCTGGTGGGATAATGAAGATCTGAACTGTCCTTTCTCTGTAGGTATCTTAAGGTATGAAATCCAGAGAAACATTATGGGGAACACAGCCGGTGGGATAATGGAGATCTGAACTGACCTCTCTGTAGGTATCTTAAGGTATGAATTCCAGAGGAACATTTACGGGGAACACAGCCAGTGGGATAATGGAGATCTGAACTGTCCCTCTCTATAGGTATCTTAAGCCATGAAATCCAGAGAAACATTATGGGGAACACAGCCGGGTGGGATCTGAATGGAGATCTTAACTGAATCCAAAAGGAACATTACGCGGAAACACAGCCGGTGGGATAATGAAGACTTCTCTGTAGGTATCTTAAGGTATGAAATCCATAGGAACATTACGGGGAACACAGCCGGTGGGATAATGAGATCTGAACTGACCTTTCTCTGTAGGTATCTTAAGGTATGAAATCCAAAGGAACATTACGGGGAACACAGCCGGTGGGATAATGGAGATCTGAACTGTCCCTCTCTGTAGGTATCTTAAGGTATGAAATCCAAAGGAACATTACGGGGAACACAGCCGGTGGGATAATGAAGATCTGAACTGTCCCTCTCTGTAGGCTATCTTAAGGTATGAAATCCAAAGGAACATTATGGGGAACACAGCCGGTGGGATAATGGAGATCTGAACATTCAACAGTTTTTGTGGTCATTTATTTGAGCGCAGAGCAGTCTCTTTTTTTTTTCTCACGTGGAAAGCTTTATATCTACAAGTCGATAAACAAATCACCTCCTGGGTCTTGCGATCCATATGAAGTGTTTAGCTGGCACAAGGTTCCCTGTGGACAGAAAGAAGGATTCGCTTTAAATGAAATGTTGGCTCTTTGCCCAAAAAGAAAGGTTGCCTTGGTTACACAAGTCTCCTCTCCTGTTCTCTTCGTATTAAATGGGCGTAGTTGGATATTGGCATTCAACCTACTATACGGCCAAGGGTTCAAAAGGACATCTGATCATGAAACCCGTGAGAGCCTGTTGGACATCCCATTCCAAAACCATAAAATATGGAATGGCTGCCTTATAACATCCTTCACTCTACTGAGAAGACTGTCAATGAGATGTTAATGTTGAGTTGCCCCCACCTGCCCACCTCCATGGCCATTAAGATGGAGGTGCCCCCTTCGTGGCTATAACAGCCTCCATGTACCCTCGCTTGGTCTTGACACCTACATGTGCTTAGTAGATATCCGGATCCACAGCTCTGGCCATTAATTTGGAATCCAGCCTCTTGGCGGCTGTAACAGTCTCCACTTTTCTGGAAAGGTTTTTCTATCGGGATTTTGGAGGGTGCCTGTGGGAATTTGTACCCATTTGTGAAGTCAGGTACTGATGTTGGATGAGAAGACCTGGTGCACCATCTGCATTCCAATCCAACCCAAAGGTGTTCAGCGGGGTTGAGGTCAGGGATCTGAAGAGGTTACTAGACTTTCTACACCCGTCACACATAGATGAGCTTGTTGGACATCTGAAAACTATGGCCATTAATACGGATATAACATCCTCCACTCTTCTGAGACTTCCCACAAGAATTTGGAGGGTGTAAGGAGCTTTCTTCCCACTGACCCCCAATGTAAGGGACATTCTTCACCAATGTAAGGAGCTTTCTTCCCACCGATCACCAATGTAAGGGACATTCTTCCCACTGACCCCCCAATGTAAGGGACATTCTTCCCCACTGATCCCACTGACCACCAATGTAAGGGACATTCTTCCCACTGACCACCAATGTAAGGACATTTATTCCATGAACCCCATGTAATAGGGATCTTCCCACTGATCACCAATGTAAGGGACATTCTTCCCACTGATCACCAATGTAAGGGACATTCTCCCCACTGACCCCAATGTAAGGGACATTCTTCCACTGACCACCAATGTAAGGGACATTCTTCCCACTGATAACCAATGTAAGGGACATTCTTCCCACTGACCCCCAATGTAAGGGACATTCTTCCCACTGATTCTCCCCCCCAAATGTAAGGGGACATTCTTCCCACTGACCCCCAATGTAAGGGACATTCTTCCTGTGACCCCCAATGTAAGGGACATTCTTCCCACTGATCACCAATGTAAGGGACATTCTTCCCACTGACCCCCAATGTAAGGGACATTTTTCCCACTGACCCCCAATGTAAGGGACATTCTTCCCACTGACCCCCAATGTAAGGGACATTCTTCCCACTGACCCCCAATGTAAGGGACATTCTTCCCACTGATCCCCAATGTAAGGGACATTCTTCCCACTGATTCTTCCCCCCCAATGTAAGGGACATTCTTCCCACTGATCCCCAATGTAAGGGACATTCTTCCCTGACTGATTCTTCCCACACCCCCAATGTAAGGGACATTCTTCCCACTGACCCCCAATGTAAGGGACATTCTTCCCACTGACCACCAATGTAAGGGGGACATTAAGGGACATTTCCCACTGATCACCAATGTAAGGGACATTCTTCCCACTGACCACCAATGTAAGGGACATTCTTCCCACTGACCCCAATGTAAGGGACATTCTTCCCACTGACCCCCAATGTAAGGGACATTCTTCCCACTGACCACCAATGTAAGGGACATTCTTCCCACTGATCCCCAATGTAAGGACATTCTTCCCACTGGACATTCTTCCCACTGACCCCCAATGTAAGGGACATTCTTCCCACTGACCCCCAATGTAAGGGACATTCTTCCCACTGACCCACCAATGTAAGGGACATTCTTCCCACTGACCCCAATGTAAGGGACATTCTTCCCACTGACCACCAATGTAAGGGACATTCTTCCCACTGACCCCCAATGTAAGGGACATTCTTCCCACTGACCCCCAATGTAAGGGACATTCTTCCCACTGATTCTTCCACACTGACCCCAATGTAAGGGACATTCTTCCCACTGACCCCAATGTAAGGGACATTTTGCAGTTGGCCCCCCGATAAATTGGCTTTAGTAAGGGTTCCCTGAAACCTGAGAATCATTTGATGGGGTCCTCTTGGACAGGGGCGGACTGACCATTTGGAAACTCGGGCACTGCCCAAGGGCCCGGGGTCAGTAGGGGGCCCCATGAGATGCCCCTGGTACCTTTTTCATAGGCTTTTTTGAGTTTGGGTAAGGACACAGGGGCCCCATGAACCCCTATTGCCTGGGGGCCCCATGAGGTGTCAGTCCGCCCTTGCTCTTGGAGTAAACAGGTAGAGAAGGTCTGCTCTAGAACAGGCCTGGGTTTGAGAACCCGTGTAGTCGGTGACGAAGGTTGCATGGAACGCTCACAGAACGTCTCCCGGTCTTCTCATAGATTGGAGAAAAGTTGGTACAGAAGGTGACTTCATCACGTTGACGAGTTCTGAATCTGAAATATCTCAGGGGCCCCCCGGCTGTAGAATCCCCCACGTCTCACGGCTGCTGATGGGGTCAGCGGAGTCTCCATCTTCCCCGGGGGAACTGCCGGCTTTTATCATTCCCTGGGAGGTGTGAAGACATGTCAAGGATCCTAATCATGCAAATCAGACGGAGGGGGAAGATGACAGAACGGGACGCGTCCCATTAACGTCTCCTGACCCCACCACTCATGTCTATGCTAATCGAACCGTCAACGTGTCACCGACGGAGGCCGGGAGCGACTCGTACACACAGCTCTCCACAAACATGGCAGCCAATAGGATGTGTATAGCAACCGAAACTGAAGAGGACGATGGAATATATCTCATGGTGTGTGCTGAGAGCACCGATCACCTACTGCACCGTGTGTGTTCATTCAGGGTTCAAGTGTCAGTACAGATATACATCAGAGAGCTACGGGACGGAATTGCATCATCATTTATATATATATATACACAAACACACACACATATATATATATAAAACAAAAAAAAAATTATATAAATACACACACACATACACATATATTAAAAAAAAAATAATATATATATATGTGTATGTGTGTGTGTGTATTTATATAATTTTTTTTTACATTTTATATATATATATATATATATATATATATATATATATATATATATATAAATTTTTTTTTTTTACAAAATATTATATATATATATAAATACACACACACACACACATACAGATATAAATATATAGAATGTAAAAAAAAAAATATATATATAAACACATACACACAACACACACACATATATATAAAATAAATATATATATATAAAATGTAAAAAAATATATAAATATATATTTTTTTTTTTTTTTTAATAATAAATATATATATATATATAATAAAAAAAAATTTTTTTGTTTGTATATATATATAATTTTTTTTTTACATTTTTATATATATATTTATTTACATTTTTATATATATATATATACACACACACACATATATATATATATTTATATTTATATCTTTAAAAAATAATAATATTTGTGAAAATTTTATTGCAATTATGTTCAGTAGTCCAATGACGTATTTATATATGTATTTAAAATTAAACTCTTACTGTATATACATTACATGTGGTACCCTAAGTGAGCCGAGTACTAAGCATGCACACGTCTGCACCAAAACAGCATAAAAATATGCTATTTTTTTACATAAAAATGTAAAATAAATATATATATAAATTAGTTACAACTAATAATATTGATAACAACCATAATTATAAAATATTATTTTATTATTTGTATTATTATTATTATTATTTGAATTATTATTATATAACATAAAATACTATAAATTCACAAAATATTAACATAATTTAAATACAATATTATTAGTTAAAAATCATTTAAATAATAAAACAATAATAATATGAATAATGATTATTTGTAATTTATTTGTAAAAAATAAATTAATGATTTAATTATAAACACATTGAATTACAATTGCAATATAATTGTCATATATATATATATATAATGTAAATAATTTTATATAAATAAAAAAAAACTTTGTTACAAGTAATAATAATAACAACAATACTACTACTACTGCTAATAATAATAATAATTATAATAAAAATATAATTAAATAATATGAATACAATAACTCTATATTATAATTACATATAATATAAATATAATAAATATTAGTTACAATAATAATAACAATAAAAATTTGTTACAAATAATAATAATAAAAACAATAATAATAGCAATATTGATACTACTGATAATAAAAATATTATTATTATTAGTATTAAATTAATAATAAAAATATAATATAAATACAATAACTCTACAATATATTTACATATAATATAAATATATTAATATTAGTTACAATTATAATATTACAATAATAATTTGTTACAAATAATAATAGCAATACTGATACTACTGATAATAATAATATTAATAATAATAATATAAATAATAAAAAATAATATAAATACCTGTAACTCTACAATATATTTACATATAATATAAATAAAATAATATTAGTTACAAATATAGTAATAACAATAATAATTTTATTACAAAAATAAATAATAATAATAATAATAATAATAAAATATAAATACAATAATTCTACAATATATTTACATAAATATAAATATAATAATATTAGTTACAATTATAATAATAAAATAATAATTTGTTACAAAAATAAAAAAATAATAATAATAAAAATAGCAATACTGATACTACTGATAATAATAAATAATAATAAATAATAATAATAAAAAAAATAAAATATAAATACAGTAACTCTACAATATATTTACATATAATAAAAATAAAATAATATTATTTCAAAATTATAATAATAACAATAATAATTTTTTACAAAAATAAAAATAATTCTACAATATAAAACAAAAAAAAAAAAATAAAAAAAAATAAAAATTAGTTAAATTATAATATTAAAAAAAAAAAAAAAAATAATTTGTTACAAATAAAATAATAATAATAGCAATAAAAAATACTACTGAAAAATTAAAAAAAATAAAAAATAAAAAAAAAAAATAAATAAAAAATAAAAAAAAAAAAAAAAAAAAAAAAAAAAAAAAAAATAATAATTAAAATAATAAAAAATTACAAATAAATATAAATAAAATAATATTAGTTACAATTATAATAATAAAATAATAATTTGTTACAAAACAATAATAATAATAATAATAGCAATACTGATACTACTGATAATAATAATATTAATAATAATAATAATATAATATAATATAAATACAATAACTCTACAATATATTTACATATAATATAAATAAAATAATATTAGTTACAATTATAATAATAACAATAATAATTGTTTTACAAATAATAATAATAATAACAATATAATATAAATACTGTAACTCTACAATATATTTACATATAATATAAATATAATAATTTTAGTCACAATTATAATTATAAAAATAATAATAATGATTTTTATTACATGTAACATAAAATAACAAATCTACAATATAATATAAAAATACATATAATATAAATCTAATATTATTTGTTAGAAATAATAATAATAACATCAATATTATTTTTATTCTCGTTGTTTTTCTTGTTATTTCTCTGAATATAATAATTCTACAATCGGATACAATTGCACGGTGTGGGGGTACGAACGTTCTCAGATCGGTGGACAGTATATATATATGATGAGTATTTCTTTCCTCTCGCAGAGGCCGCAGTTTCCTCGCTGTGGCGACACTTTCATCTGCTTTTCTCTCCATCCTCTTCCCATCCCCCGGTGTCGCCGTCCTTTGTATTTCTGTCCATCCAGTCCTCAGCATCACACAGCTCTGCCACACAGCACCACCAGGCAGGCGACTCCCCTGACAGTCCAGGAATACAATGGTGTCGTATCTCCGCCTCCAGCGCGCTCACCTGCCAATGGAAGAACAGCTGCTGATTGATGAGGTTATCCTTCTGCTCCATATTTTCATGCAGCACATCTGATTGGCTCCTAGCACTGCCACACCCTCTCTAAGTCTGAGCTCTGCTGTACAGGGGATGCGAAAGGCTGATACTGAGTCTCGAGGAACTCGGAGCTCATATGGAGGAGATACATCGACGTGCCGATCGTGCCTTTACCATGACCAGCGCCCGGCTTCTGTTACAATTTTTTTTTTTACTTTTTGGCTGGTTTCCTATTTTTTCTGATGATCCATAATATTTTTTAAGGTCTTTTTATTTTTTTTTTTTTCATTGTAAGTTCATCTCCTCATTCTTTACGCTTCATCTTCCACCGCTCCTTTTTCTGGAATTCCAGCGCATCAGCGTAACCAAAACAGCGGGGAGAAGAAAAAGGGAGAATTTTTTTTACTTATTTATTTTTTTGCAACTTTTTTTTCCAAGAAGTCATCTAGAAATAAAAAAAAATGAAGGTATTTTTTTTTTTTTTATTATTTTTTTTTTTTTTTTTTTTTTAGTCCTCTGACACCAAAAAAAAAAATAATACTTAGACCAAGGTTGTGCAGATTTTTTTTTTTTTATCAGTGACAGTTGGTGTCAGTGTGTTTTAGGTAGGACAAAAAAAAAAAAATACCAAGGTTTAATCAAGGTCAGCGCCTGGGTTAGAGTTTAAGGTCAAAGGTCAGGGTCATATATTTTGGGCATTTTATTTTTTTTTTTTTAA